GAGGATTTTGTAGTAATCAGAGAAAAGGCAATGGCCATGCAAAGTAGTTATATTGGAAAAGGCAATAATGTCTTCAGGAAAGGAAACAATTACATCAAATCAAAGCTAATTCAAAATTCATATGAGAAATAATATAAATCTCACCTAGAAAGCACAGTCAGTGCAAAAGGTGACGAGCAGCCTTTTTCAGAAAGGTTGTTGCCAAAATTACAGTCAAGAATAGCATTCTTCACTTTTTACTTCGACCTTCTGCCCCTCTGCCATTAATGCAAATGCTTTTCTTACTTGGATTAGATTGCAGGAAAAGAAATATTATTTATGTCTTGCTTTCAAAAACCTCACATAGTTACACATGTGAAGTAAAAGCTTTCACGTTGTTTTGAAAGTAATTAGCCTTGCCTAATGGAGAAACATTAAGATCACTGCAATCCTGGAATAGGGGCTAGGCTAAAAACACCCTTTACAACAACATTTTTAAAAAAAAAACTGTTCCAAGAATGACACAATTTAAAACATAAGCAATGCCACTGCTGATTTCTTCTTCATCTTTTATTATATACCTGAAAAGATTCATTGACTTTAATCTGACAAGTTGCTCTAAAGATTAGCTAAAAGATTTTCCCTAAATTTCAACTAAGTGACATCTGTTTTTCAAAAGCTGCCATTATATCTGAAGTTGCTTTATACTGAATCTGAGCATCTAATCAGTATTCTCTATGCTCACCAGCAGCAATTTTCCAACATCCTCTGTTCACGTCTTTTGCAGCCATATTATTGAGATTCTAGAAGTGCTAGTTACATAATCAGAGGTTTTCTATATGCAAGCCATATGTTCTGCCATTCAATTATAATCCTTCACCCCATATTTTTTCTGCTCCCAGTAAAATTCTGAATATTACTGTTGCACATGGGCAACTTGAAATTCAGGCTAATTACTATCTTTTAACTTAGCTATCTTGAATAGAATTCAAAAAGTAATGCTAAAACTTCATTTTATTTTCATCCATCATTCAGTTCTCTACAACTTGCCAACTTTGAACTCTTTTCTTGTGTCACTAATTTAACACTTTCTCATCTACCAAATTTTCATTCCTCAAAATTTTACAGTTACCATTTGACCATGTGATTGTTATTCTATTTTCCTTGTATATATAATGTATATAAAAATAAAAGTGTCTTCCTTCTTTCATGCCCATTTATTTGGTCAATCTATTTGGATAAAATTTAAAAATGTTTTGATGTTTTAAATTTTACTTGCATTATATATGTATTCATTTGTATTTTTTGTTCGGTTTTATTTTTTATTATCTTTTCTAATTTTGCATTTTTATATTCCTGACTTGATATTAATATCCAAATCATTAAAGTAAAGGTTTATGGAATGATCATATTTAATTTTATCATTTTTCCTCTAAAGGACTTCACAGTGGAACACAGAACATAAAAAAAACAACCATTAATCAAATAACTAATCAAATAATCAATATAAGATGACTGACAGGAGGCACTTCGTATATCTTCGGGTGCATGTTATTCAAGTGTGCTAGAAAATTGTCTAGCTTGTCTTTTCCATGAGGCCAGATGACAAATGTATCATCTACATATCTGAGCCATAATTTTGGTTTATAGATAGTTTGTTCCAACGCTTTAATTTCAAATCCTTCCATAAACAGATTGGCAATAACTGGGGAGAGCGGTGACCCCATTGGTGCCCCTTGCATTTGTTTATATCTTTGCCCTCCGTACATGAAGTAGGTGTTAGATAGGCAATGCTCTGCCAATTCTATGATGTGGTTTGGTGGCTGGTATTTGTTTTTGATCGATGCTAGAGCTTCTGTAATGGGTACTTGGGTGAATAATGAGACCACATCAAAGCTTACAAGTAGGTCACCCTGCTCTATGCGTTGGTTTCTCAGAATTTCTATGAGATGATATGAGTTCTGCACATAGGAAGCAATCGATTCTGCAAATGGTTGTAATTGTTTGGCTAAGTATCTGGCCAAGTTTTGTAGCTGAGAGCCTACACAGTGTTTACCAAAAGAAGACACATACAAATCGTTACCTGAATGCACACTCACACCATCATCCCTCACAAATAAGTTCAGTGGCAAAAACTTTAATCACTAGAACTAAACATCTAGCACAATGGTTCTCAAACTTCCTAATGCTGCGACCCTTTAATACAGTTCCTCCTGTTGTGGTGACCCCCAACCATAAAATTATTCCTAAAACCATTGAAAATATGTGTTTTCCGATGGTCTTAAGCGACCCCTGTGAAAGGGTCATTCGACCCCCAAAGGGGTCCCGACCCACAGGTTGAGAACCACTGGTCTAGCAGATGAGGCACATGTACAAACAGAGCTTAAGACCCTCACAGAAGTATTAATGGAAAACGGGTTCCACGAAAATAGAATTAGAACTATAATCCAGCAAGGGACAGTAGGACAGAGCAAAACCCAAGAAGAAGAACAGAATATGGGAACTGCCATCCTGCCTTATATAAAAGGGACCACCAATAAAATTAGTAAGATATTACGGAAACAAAAAATAAAAACAGTGTTCCGTACAGATAGAAAAATATCGATGATGGTGAGAAACCCTAAGGATAAAATTGAGTTGGAAAACCAGGGGATATACGAAGTGCCATGTGCCTCCTGTCAGTCATCTTATATTGGACAGACAAACAGACGAATAAATGTGCGTTTAGAAGAACATAAAAATGCAGTGAGGAAAGAAGAGCAAACTTCTTCTTTGGTACAACACATGAAAGCCATGGGAAACAATATTGATTTTAATAAAACCAGAACAGTGGCAAAAGAGGGACATCTCAACAAAAGACTAATCAGGGAGGCCATCGAAATTGAAAAGAGGCCGCAGAATATGAACAGATGAGACGACGCCTCTAGGTTATCAAGTATTTGGGGACCTGCACTGAGAGAAACTCGAGTGTTAACATCAGAAGAGAGGCAGAGATTCCAACAAGCAACCAGTGGTGTTGCAAGGCCTGCCAGAATTCTTCCTGCTCTGCAGAGGGTGGCTAGCAATAAGGAGAGAGAGAGGATCAAGCCAGAAGACAGGCTGAGATCTCAACTAACAATCAAGGGTGCTGTGATGCCTACCAGAATCCTTTCCCCTCTACAGCAGACAGATAATAATAGAGAATCTGAGAAAGCTGGGCCTGTAACACGCAGCCAAGCAGCCAGGATGAGGAAGCAGGAAGAAAAACTACTGTCCTCCAATCGGGACACAGAGTTGCAGGCTAGCCAGCATACGTCAGCAGCAGCAAATATAGATAAGCGACAGCTCCGACCTCGCAACATAGAACCCATAGCTTCTAAACGAAACAAGAGCCTGAAGATGACAGGGTTGTGAGCCTGTCGAAACGTTGCTATAAGAAAAACTTTTAAAGTTACTGGTAGGATTTTAGCTGAGGTTTTAAAGGACCTTGCAGAGTGCTCTGTAAGGATTTTTAGAAGATTTTAAGCTGGGAATTTTAAACATTTTAACCAACTTATTTACAACGACGCGGGAAAACACCCGAGATTTTAATTTTGTGTGTGTGTGTGTGTGTGTGTGTGTATATATATATATATATATATATATATATATATATATATATATATATATATATATATGGATATTTAAGAGCCTTTGATTTTGAAAGCTGCTGAGAGATATAGAAAAAGGATTTACTGATGAAGCAAGGAACTTAATAGCCCTGGTAATACTGTTGTTAAGGGAGAAAATTAAAATGAAAATAACTTAATGATCATTGGATAGTACTAGGAGGACAGTCATTTTGTAACAATTAATTAAGTTAAATCTTCCCCTTTCTTTACTTCCTAATATTTATAATGAAACAATGGATCTTAAGACAATAATGCAGTAAATATTTTGTTTCAAATAGAAGTACAGTTCAATGGATTTGTTGCCTTTTTAGCATCAATTGAGCACACTCATATAATGAATGCATCTGGTATAGATTTAAGTTTTTGTGAAGCTGGAAATTTTAATTTTTTTGCACATTTAATTTTTATGTTTTATTAAGCTCAAGCTTTGTCCATGTGATTCCAAAATTCATCATTTCATTTCATGTCAATATGTACATCTTGAGCACAGTAGTAAATGTAGTATTAGATTTAAGTGAAAATTTGACATTTTCATCTGATTAATTTTCATCCCTCACAATAGCTATATTAATTACTGTTGTCATCTTCCTTGATGTGTCATTCCCTTCCTCAAGTAAAGAAAATTTCCAATGCTATCATGTTAAACATGTTGTAATCTAATCTTCATGAATCTCCTCAAGGGCTGTCTAAATATGTAACCTTTTTGTACTTTAAAATCATGTGTGTTTTTAACGTAGAAATTAAAATCTTGTTATTTTTATCATATATTTTGTTTTTTTATTTATTTAATTTATTATTAATTATTTGTATTCCTGATTTTATTATCTTTACAAATAATCCAAGGTGGCAAAAATATCCAAACCCATCTTCATCCTCCTATTTTCTCCACAACCACCACCCTATGAGATGGGTTGGACTCAAAGAGACTGGTCACTCAGCCAGTTTTCGTGCCTATACACAGTTTCTCACTTTCTAGCCTGATGCCCTAAAGTACAATGGTAGCTTATGAGAAAATATGGAAGAATGTGATGGTCATTACTGAGCAGTTAAAAAGATTTTTACTGGCAGATATCGCACTGATATCTTTTATATGGCCATGTAATATTTTTTGACTATTCAGCAAGTATGAGTCCCTTCCATGGCTCCTGAGCTGCATAATTAAGAATAAATCTATTCTCCTTTTTAAAAAACTATTCAACAGCACTTGAAGCACACATTGTACTTCTTATTTATTCTAATTATAAAGTCCCTGCCCCCCAAAATTTGGAAGAGGTTACAATATCCAGCTATCAAATATTTAATATATGATTAATTAATAAATCTGAATTATGTCAGAATTATTCAGAATTATTTTCACATCATTATCCTAGGAGAAACAATATTCTAAGTTTTATTTAGGCAATGTGCTAAAGAACACTTGAATATCACATATTTAATAAATATATTCCAGTATTCAGGTCCTGAGCAATATTATTTATCAGACTATATCTGGGTCCACTTCACTTTTTCAATAACCAGCTCTACAAAGATGTCATTACATTTTTTCTTCGTCTCCAGATTGCATTGCATCCCTGGAAAGAGAACACATGAAGGAGATTAAATAACTTCATATATAGTATAGGTAAAGAAATATGCTTATTTTTGGATGATTCCACTTTCAATTGTGGTATAGCAATTATTATCATTTGAAAAAGAGCTATGATTTAAAATATTATATTTGTTTATTTGGTAAATAGATATAGCTGCCCATCTCATATATGAATCCTGGCAGCATATAAGTGTAGCAGCAAAATAGCCCAAAACATATAGCAACCACAAAAATCTTAAAAACAACTTTAAAAATTATTACAAACCATAAAACCCAAAACTTGTGGTAGAGCATACTCATTTTACTAGCAATATAACCACTTTGTAGCTTCTTACCACATTTATTGGATTTTCAGGAAGGCAAAACCATGTTTTCAGGCCCTTCCAGAAGGCCCAAAGATTTGGGGCCAATATGACCTGAGGTGGATGATGTTTCAGAGGGTGGGTGAAATAGCAGAAAGTCACTCCTTGGTCCTGTCAGATGACACTTCTTTCTAACCTGATGGAACCAGTAAATGTGATTGGAGAAAGGCTGTCCTCAAATAAATAAGCCTCATGCCATGTAGGGCTTTAAAGATCACATAGATTCTATGCTGTTGTAAATCAAGACTACTCGTATGTATATAGTGTCAGGGTTCCAAGAAACACCCCCAACAAAAGAAGATTCCGAGGCTAGAAATTCTCAAAGTTCCATTTTATTAAAGATGTCATATTGGCACATCTGGAAAAACTCAAATCTGAAAACTTCCAAGTTTTCTTCACCCAAAAGAAAGTCCCTTCTCCTGCACCCACATGTCCATCACATGGTCCAATTGTTGCACCGTTCCAACTGGAGATGCCTCCCAGTCACGCCAGTCCAGGTGCAGGGCCGAATATCCTTGAGTCTCAGAGAAAGGAATGTTATTATGGCTAAATATCTCTACCACTCTATGCAATCCCCCCTCCCAGTTTCCCATAGCACTAAGTGTGGAAGTCCTGAAGATCTAAGAAAAAAATGGCCTCCAGAGCTGACATATAATATGTTTGGTTACCTACACTTTTAAGGCCATGAAAATGAAACTTGGTTAAAATATTTTGTTATGAAGTGAGAAATACTGAATCAAGACACTACAGAAGGGATGCTGAAAAGTGTCATTGCATTTCTGTTTTATATAGAAAGATTAAGATGATTTAATCATATTCAAGATAATGTGCTTGGTATTTTTTTTAATAAATATCTTCGTATGTATGTCTGTCTATAGGTATGTATAGAAGTGCACATACAAGAACACAATACCATACATATTCATGCCTTTTGCAACACATTTCATTTCAGTTTACATTTTGGTGCAAGCCTTTGCCAAGATAGGAATCTCTTAAATAATATAAAATACATGCTGGTATGAATGCCATCAAATTCCATAATATATTCTTCTAGAAGAGTTTTATTTGATCACAAATTTAATATATTGAGGGCAAAGCTATTTGCTTTTGTCTTCACTAGATGAATTATATCCCCACCTTATAGCTTGAAAAGGAGAGGCAGTGTTTTTATGCCTTCTTGTCACATTGGATGGAAGTATTAATTGTGTATGGAATAATCCATATTTTATAGCATGACATACTGTAGCAGAAATGATTGATGGGATAAAAACAACACAGTATATTGGTATTGCATAGCTATGTTAAGTGTTATGTTCTTAGCACGCTATGCAATGTGACCTTCTGTATCTCAGGCCTCTCCAGCCTTTGTTCCAGCAAATAGGCATCTATTTTTGACGCAGTGCAATAGGCTAAGACTACTACACCTGATATATGCACACTCAGCAAGAGAGGCCTCCTCAAGTAATTATAAAGAAAAAAATGAATATGAGCATCCTTCAGTTCAATAAATGTACTTTATCTATAAACCAATCATCACAGGGAATGCTTGCTTTCTGCAGATTTAAACTCTTTGTTTGCTTGTTGTTTGTTTAAGATGTGCAGAGTGTGGTGATGAGGACGCTGTATAAATTAATACCAAGCTACTATATATACAGAAAACAGAAATGTTGAATGTGGTCATAAAAATCACACTTGGCATCCATATGCCAAAATGCTGATTCTTTTGTGGTTTTATTTCATCAATATCCATATTTATTGTTATATCAAAATATCACTTAAATTCTTGGTTTTGCACCACGGCCACATCTCTTTGTAACTACTTCTTGGTTTTATAGAGATGAGTTCGCTGATTTTTCAAGCAAGAACTTTTTTTGTGAATGCTGATTCATCAGAAGCTTTCTAGTGTCAACTAAAAATGTTTTGCTACCTGGACCAGAGCTATCTATATCTTCCAGGGCCATATGTTAAATAGTCATGCTGCACTATTGAGACCCAATTTCTGTTATCATTTATGATGTTTCTTGAAATTGCTTTATTGTTCTAGTGCAGTGGTGAATCACCTGCATCCGTCATCTTTCTCCCTCATTAGCTATGTTACTAGGTTTAATGGGAGTTCAGTTTAACAACATATGGAGATGTTGTTTAACAACAGTTTAACAACATCTGGAGATGATGGATACCATCCATCTTTGCTCACCTCAGAACCTTCTCTGAGACCATCATTCAAAAATAGGAAGTGTACATATTTTCTTGATTTGGTATATAGTTTTGTTCTCATAAAAGTTTAGAAAAATACATCCCTCTAATAACAAGAGGGTGAAGGTTTATTCTGTAATTTCCTTTCCAAAAGAAAGAAAGTAAGAAAATAAGGTAAAGAAATATGGACCAAAGAACGCGGTTTGACAAAGTGTCAGAAGTAGATTCCTGTAAAAACCATTCTTTCTGGGGCTAAAGTCATGATTGTGTTACAAGTGTCCTTCATGTAGGTGGTAGCAATTTTGAGTCTGCTGTTTGTTTACTTGAACACTAAAATGAGTAGCTTGCATTCTTTTTTATAAACAGAGGAAAAGGGGAAAGGAAGAGATCAGATTATTATTTTTTTTCACTTGTTCTAGAGACATTAAAAACTGCTTTTTTTAACATAATGTCTGTTGTCACTCAAGATGCTGAAACAGTAATTATAATATAATGATCTGTATAGGTTGCAAAAATATTTAATCCATACATTTTTATATTATTACAGACTGAAGCTATGAACATAGTAGAATACTTGCACTGAGACACTAGGAATAAATGGGAATAATTGAACAAAAAGGATAACTTTAATGCATTTAAAGCAGATGTATCCGACTTGCAGCCACAGGCCACATAGACTTTTAACATTATTATTTGATTTATATACATTAACTATACTATATTATATACTTTATATGTGGCCCACAACAATTATTCTTTACTTTGGCAGCCCAGGCCAAAAAAGTGGATACCCATGATCGAAGGAAGGGGTGTCAAACTTGTGTTGTCACGGGGGCATCACGTGACATATCACAAGTTTTTCCCCCTTTGCTAAACCGGGCATGGACATGGCCACCGCATGACACATCCAACCCCCTGGCCACAAGTTTGATCTAAGTAAGGTGTTAAGTCACAAGAGAAAAGCTTGGTGTTCTTAGTCATAAATTAAATTAGATAAAATACAAATAATTGTTTTAATTTCTTTTGTTTTGTTTCAATGTATTTTGCTTTTAATGAAAATCAGCTGTTTCTTATGATCAACTGTTCGATCATAACTACTTAAATCAACAAGTAGAAACCTACTTGCTGATTTTACAGCTGGCCAAATGCAAAATTCTGCTGCTCTTCTTCCATATTGGTCCTACTGATGAAAGTGACTTTTTATAAGCAGTTAACAGACAGACTGATTAAACAACATTTTCACCATTATTCTATAGATTCCCCATCATGGACTTCCAATACTGTTTTTTATTTTTAATGTGTTGAGCAAAAAAGACATATGAAAACAATATATGGTGGGAATAGCTAAATACCTTGTGCCATATATTTTTATGTATGTCTGCGTATCAGTATACAAGTTGTCTGTATGTCTGCCTGTCTATTAATCACAGTGCATCGCTGAATGGCATTACTGACTTTTTGTTCATACTGAACCAGCAATAAGAAAATAGAAACAGAAACTTGCAATGAATTAAAAAATATTCCTGCAAAACTTAATTTTATCTAATTGTAATTTATACAAATTCAAAAACAAACAAATCATGGTGCTTAACATCAACAAACAAATCAGTGCTACTGATTTATTTAATTTTATCTTTTCCTATACAATAGAAATCCTTACAATTCCAACTCTGTACTTAAATTGATTTCTACCTAATCACAGGCCCTGGAGCAACATAGGTTTCTAATCTTTCCTCCAGATTTTTTTATGGGGAGGGGTTTGTTTATTTATTTTTGCAATGCTAATAGCTCTGATCATTTTGATGACTCTTTGGCATGGTTTACTGCAATTTTGAGACAGAAACAACTAAAAGTTGTAGAATAATCCTTACATAATTTTAATACAAACTACCTGCTGAGCCACCAGGAGCTCTGGTGGCTCAGCAGACTAATTAACATCCAATTACATCTGCTGCCTGCAATTACTGCAAGTTCAAATCTCACCAGGCTCAAGGTTGACTCAGCCTTCCATCCTTTCTAAGGTAGGTAAAATGAGGACCCAGATTATGGGGGCAATAAACTGATTTTGTATAAATATACAAAAGTATGAAGGCTATTGCTTAACACATTGTAAGCCGTCCTGAGTCTCCAGAGAAGGGCAGCATATAAATCAAATAAAAAAAAAATCCTAATTCCCCCAAATGCAGAAAACCTTTATACAGTCCCTGCCATTTTTCATTACTGTACACCTGTTTTTGATGCTTCTGGCCACCAGAATTGTGGTGCGTTCCAGTTTGAACCCTATCTAAGGAGTCTGTGGAGAAGTTCCATCTCCTCCAAAAGGAGGCCTTTTGTACAAGCAGGTTAGTAACTCTCATGATATTTCATGATGTGGAATGCATATAATGAAACCTGTTGACCTCTTTGATAATTCTCAAAGTAGAATTCAGGGGAATGAAATAAGAGTTCATACTGAAATCCAAACAATATATGCGTGGGGGAAATGCCCATATATTACTTGTGGGCCTGAAATAAAGGTTCATAATATTGTTTTCAATTTATAAGCTAACTTTGAAGATGCAACGTTGTTATAAAGACTCTGTTTCTTTATCCTTCCTACTGGAGATGGTGAACAGATTTTTTTTTTCCTTTTTAAAGTTGGAGGCAAGGCATCCATGTGAAGCCAAGGTGTCATCAAAATGATGAAACTTCCCACCATCCCAGCTCCCTACTATGTCTCCATCATTGCAGTAAAACTACAAAGATTGCAGAGTTGGCATCACACCATTATATGTTTTGTCATTTGCCCCTCTTGAATGGGCAATAAATTTAATCAATCTTTAAGATAGTAAAAAAGGAAGTGCAATAGTCAAATTAAATATTATCCTTTCCTAGGGGTCTAAGAAGAGTGAATCAGAATGTAGAAGAAGCACATTAGCATCAAATGATCACTGAAACTTATAAGAGTGAGACAAACTTGCCAGTATTCAGCAGCAAAACAATTTTTATGAACAAAATCC